TTTCTCCACACCCTCTCCAGCATTTATTGTTTGTAGATTTTTTGATGATGGCCATTCTGACTGGTGTGAGATGATATCTCATGGTAGTTTTGATTTGCATTTCTCTAATGATTAGTGATGTTGAGCGTCCTTTCGTGTGTTTGTTGGCAGTCCATATATCTTCTTTGGAGAAATGTCTATTTAGGTCTTCTGCCCATTTTTGGACTGGGTTGTTTGTTTTTTTGATATTGAGCTGCATGAGCTGCTTGTATATATTGGAGATTAATCCTTTGTCAGCTGGTTCGTTTGCAAGTATTTTCTCCCATTCTGAGGGTTGTCTTTTCATCTTGTTTATGGTTTCCTTTGCTGTGCAAAAGAAAAGCTGTACATATTTAATGCATACAACTCAGTGAGTTTGGGGATTAGTATATAGACATTAAATTATCATTAATACCAAGGTCACGAAACCATCATCAATATCAAGGCCATAAACATACTATCACCCCCCAAAGCTTCATTCTGCCTTCTATAATATTATTGTTATTATTGTTGTTGTTACTGCTTGATGTGATGAGAACATGTAACACAAGGTCTGCCCTATCCTCTTAGCATATTTTAAATATGTGCTACCACAGTTTTAGGTGTAGGCACTATGCTGTATAGCAGATCTCCAGAACTTATTTATCTTGCATAATGAAACTGTGAACCCTTTAACCATCACCTCCTCATTCCAATAAGTGTGAAAGGACATTTTTGGAAAGATTTAGAAAATAAGCTGATAATTGATAGAAAATTTTGGCTCTCTAGGCAAAATAACTCCTCTACAGGAAAAAAAAAAGAGCAAAACTTTGTGCTCTAATTGGGAGCCCCTAGACAAGAATATGTGTAAATATTGTGAACAGGAAGGCCATTAAAGGAACCAATGACCCATAATGGTTAAGAAACGCAAGGATACTTACCTGGCAGGGGAGATACCATGATCACGAAGGTGGTTTTCCCAGGTTGAGGCTTATCCATTGCACTCTGGATGGGCTGACCCCTGCGATTTCCCCAAATGTAGGAAACTCAACTGCATAATTTGTCATAGTAGGGGACTGCGTTCGCGCTTTCCCCTGTTAAAAAAAGAACAAGAAAAAAGAAACACAAGGAAAACTGTCTAAAATCTGTTCAGTAGTGCTGCTTACAGGGAAACCTTGTATCCTGAAATTCCATGCTCTTCATCTACACTCTCAAGGGAAATGGCCTATAATTATTTATGAACAATACAGCTTTCCATTTTTCCTTTTTTAAAAATTTGAAATATAGTTGACACACAATATTACATTAGTTTCAAGTATACAACATAGTGATTCAATGTTATATACATTACAAATTGATCACCATGTCATTCTGGTTACTATCTGTCACCATACAAAGGTGTTACAATATTATTGACTACATTCCCTGTGTTCTATGTTACAACCCTGTGACTTAGTTATTTTATAACTGGAAGTTTGTATCTCATAATCCCCTTCACCTATTTCACCCATCTTCCCACCCCATTCCCTCTGGTGACCACCAGTTTGTTCTCTGTATCTATGAGTCTGTTTTGGTTTTGTTATGTTTGTTCATTTGTTGTGTTTTTCAGATTCCACATATAAGTAAAATCGTACAGTATTTGTCTTTCTCTGTCCAACTTATTTCCCTTAGCATAATACCCTCTAGGTCCATCCACGTTGTCATAAATGGCAGGATTTCATTCTTTCTTATGGCTGAGTAATATTCCATAGCATATACATACTACATCTTCTTTATCCATTCATCTGTTGATGGTGATGTAACACTTTTCATCCAATAATTCTCTAACACCCATAAAGGGAAATCATGTGACTGTATATCTGTAATTAAGGAATTGTTCATGCTCAGAACGGAATTTATGGACACTCCAAAACCAGAATCTGACTTACTACGCTTGCTTTGGTTGCTTTTAAATTAAACATATAACGGAAAAATATGTGTTCACTAAAATAAGTAGTCTAGACACGCCTATTGAACCTAATTTCTTACTAAAAGTTAAGTTGAACTGACCTATGACACTTTTTAGGACATGCCAAATTGTCTAAATAAAATGGTAAATCTATACACCAGTAACAGGTTCGATTTTAGAACAATTTGCTTCTTTGAAATAATATAGAAACAAAAAAGCTTCTCAGACTCTTCAGGTACTATTTAAACATGAACAAGTACATGAATTACTTGATTCCTTGACGTCTCCTAAGATAATTTCTGTCATAAAGGTAGATTCTCACAATAAACCAGATACTATAAGAGCTAGTATCTTATACTGTAAACAATATAGACTTACTTTAGAAATTCCATATAAATATATAGGAATACTTCAGAAAGTACTTTAGCAGGTTTTCATCTGAACCAGGCTACTCCAACTAAAGTGTATACAAAAGGCCTTCTTACCAAATCAAAAAGTCACACATCTATGGAGATTTGTAGATACACAATGTCTACACTACAGAATTCGGAAATAATGCCCCAGAGAATGACTGTGTTGTAAGAACTATGATCCCTCAAGCATCTGTTCTCATGCCCAAGTCCGTTTATTTAATTCATTGCTTGTTCTATTCCAGATCACAGATACAGCCGTTTCAATATTCTTAGCTCCTACCCCCATGGGAAAGAACTTTATAAAATAGAGTCTGCTGTTTATGTACAGCACATTTTGCCTTTAGTCTAGACATTCTGTTCAATTCTAAAGTTCATTTCTAAAGTTACTGACAGTGAGCTTTTTCATACATTTTAGATTACGTGTATTCTACCCTGTGACACTCCCACTTCCTTGATTGCTTGATTTGAATAGGTTTCAGTTGACTCGTGGAACCGTAAAAATCTATGGTTTAGACAGATGCACGTGGCAGAGGTCCATCGCTAAGGTATCTGAACTTACGGCGTGATCTGTTTGCCATCTCTTAGTTTGCCTTTTCCAGAACGTCATACAAATGGGGTCATACAGTGTGTAGGCTCTTGAGCTTGGATTCTTGTACTTGTGAAGGCAGAATCAAAACGGAATAGGTGATTATAAGAGAGCTCTTTAGAATGGAGCTGGGAGGTCATTTAGAAAGTGTGACTTACCACACCTCAGCCTGAATGGAATCTGACCTTCTGACTCGATGAAGTCATCCGGAGCATCTGCCAGAAGCTCATGACAGCTACAGTATTGCCATTTATAGAGTGTCTTCCACGTAGTGCAGGAAGAGAAGGGCGTGAACTCTGAGCCGTGAGGGAGGCGCGGCCTGCACTTCCCGCACGGACCACAGGGTGGCGCCGAGCCCGCCTCTCTGAGCCACAGCGCATGCGCGTTCCCCGCGGACTCGGCTCTGAGCGCCGCTGAGAGGGGTTGTGTCTCCTCAGTCGACGGCAGTGTGGCGTCTGGGACGCTGAGCTCGGCGTCTCTGCTGACAGGAACTTGGTCTCCTCAGGACTCGCTGGGGTTTTGGCTTCACGACAACACGGGGCCGTGTCCACGCTGACGGGAGCTGGGTTTCCTGAGGTCGCAGGCGACGCCGGGAGGAAAAGGTGAGGAAAATTGGGGAAAAGTGGGGAGAAGCTTCCTGGGGGCGACTGACGGCTGACGGCGGGGGGGGTCTGTCTTCGTGCTACCCAGAAGGGCTTGGTGTGCAAAGCTGGGTTTTTGGTCAGGCTGGTGTGCGGTGGAGCCGCGTGGGTTATGGGGTGTGCAGTCTTCCCAGCACCGTTTACCGTGGGGCTGCCCTTCCCCTCGGTGTGTCCTTGGCCCCCTTGTCGTAAATTAACGAACCCCGCCCGTGTGGGTTGGATTCTGGGCTCTGTGTCCCGCCCCTCTGGTCTGTGCGCCTGTTTTGAGCCAGTTCCGCACTGTTTTGGTGACTGTAGCTTCTCCATGTAGTGTGAAGTCATGGAGGGAGGTGCCTCCAGCCTGTTCTCCTTTCTCAGGGTCGCCTTGGCCATTTGGGGTCCTTTGTGGCTCCACACAGACATTAGGAGGATTTGCTCCGTTTCTGTGACAAACACCATCGGAGGTTAGGCAAGGCCTGCATTCACGGCGCAACCTGCTTTGGGCAGAACGGACATTTTAGCAGTATTCCGCCCCATGAGCACGGGGTGTCTTTCCACTGATTTGTGTCTTCCTCAATTTCTTCATCAAGGTCTTAAAGTTTTCAGTGTGCAGGTCTCTCACGTCATTGGTTAAATCTATTCCTTGGTATTTTAGTCTTTGGGATGCAGTTGTAAACTGGGTTCTTTCTCTTTCTGATGGTTTGTGATTCGTGTTTAGAAATACAGTTGATTTTTGTGTATTGATTTTGTAACTTTACTGAATTCGTTGATTCGTTCTACTAGTTTTTTTGTGGAATGATGTAGAAAATTGGAACTTGGAAATCCCACTGCTTTTTTCACAGCCAGGTCGTCCACAGCACGCAAGACACAGTGGCTTCTAATCGAATCTTCCCACAGTGCTTATAAATTACACGTGGACTCCTAGGAGGGCAATTAGGTCGACGACTTTGAGCTGGATCTGGGTAGGGCGTGGCCTCTGTTAGGAAGTGTGATGTTTTCTCCGCTTTTCTGGTGCGGTTTTGATAAGTTATTTACTTTCCAGTAATTTCAAACATACAGAAAACTCCAATAGCAGAACAAAGTCCTGTGTATCTGCACCCTCAGATTCCCCAGCCGTCCTTGCTTCACTGCATTAGCCACTCCACACAAAGTACTTCAGTGTGTTTTACCCACACCAGGGCACTCTTCCAGGCAACTCGCAGGTAACCACCAAATGAGGAAATTATTATCATGGTTTCCACATTAGAATCCAATCCACAGGCCTACTTCAACTTCCACCAGCTGCCCCAAGTCAACGGAAATGTCTTTTCCCATACTGATCCAGTTTTCTTTTCTGGGAACCATTCCTGATACTTTCTCTCATTTTCACAACTTTGATGGATTTAAAGCGCACAAGGTGAGTATGTGATCTGGTTGGCTTTTTCTATATGGCTTTTTTATTTTTATTTTTTAACAAAGGGTGTTTTCAGTGTTCATCCGTACTGGTAACATGTATTGGTACTTCACGGATTTTTTGTTGTTGTTGTTGTGATTAAATATACATTACATAACATATTCCATTTAAATGGTTTTTAAGTATACGGTTTTATGACATTAACTCCATTTACATCGTTGTACAAATATCCTCACCATCCATCTCCGGAACTTTTCAATTTTCACCAGCAAAACTCTGTAGCCATTAGACACTAATTCCCCTCAGCCCCTGGCAACTGCATTCTACTTTCTGCCTTTGAATTTGACTTGCCTGGGTACCTCGTATAAGTGGAATCATATCATGTTTGACCTTTTGTGACAGGGTTATTTCACTTGTCAGAATGACTTCAGGGTTCATGTACATCGTAGTGTGTGTCAGAATTTCCTTAGTTTTTAAGGCTAAATAATATTCCATCCTGTGTACGATACAGTTAGTTTATCCATTCATCAGGGGACACTTGGGTCACTTCCACCTTTTGCTATTGTGTTAATGCTATTATGAATATGGGTGTACAAATATCTCTTTCAGTCTCTGCTTTCAATCTGTTGAGTATATACTCTGATGTGGAATTAATGGATCATACCTTAATTCTGTGTTGAATTTTTTGAGGAACTGCTATACTGTTTTCCACAGAGGCTGCACCATTATACTTTATAAATTTTATGGTGGAATAATATGGCAGTTTATGGATCTGCCCCATTTTCTTTATATATTTACCCATTGATGGACATTTGCCTTATTTCTACTATTTGGCTGTTGTGAACAGTGCTGCTTTCAATATATGTGTACAGATTTCTGTATGAGCACCTGTTTTCAACTCTTTGGCCTATGTATATCTAGAAGTGGAGTTTTTGAACGATATGGTATTTGTATATTTATATTGTAAACATAAGTTGCACCATTTTACCTTTACACAAGTAACATTTAAGGGTTTTAAATTCTCTACATTGTTGCCAAGATTTGTTATTTTTAGCTTTCTTGATTATAACTGTTTTAGAATGTGTGAAGGAGTTACTGCATTGTGGTTTTACTTTGCATTTCAATCATGACTAATGATGTTTGACATCTTTTCATCTGCTCGTTGACCATTTGTATGTCTTGTGTGGAGAACGGTCTATTCAGGTCCTTTGTCCATTTTTAAAATTGGGTTATTTGTCTTTTTGTTGATGAGTTGTAAAAGTTCTTGATGTAATTTGGTTAAAGACTCATCAGTACATAATGTGTAAATATTTTCTTCCGTTCTGTGGGCTGTCTTTTCACTTTCTGGATTGCATCTTTTGATGCTAAAAGTTTGTAATTTTAAAGAAATCCGATTTACCTGTTTTTTCTTTTGTTGCTTGTGCTTTGGTGTCAGATCTAAGACACCATTGCTAAATCCAAGGTTATGAAGATTAATTCCCATGTTTTATTGAAGAGATTATACAGTAGTCCCTTGATGTCTGTGGGGGATTGGTTCCAGAACACCCAGGGACAACAAAATCCACGGATGCTGAAGTCTCGTATAAAAGGGTATAGCACCATTGTAAAGCAATTATACTCCAATAAAGATGTTAAAAAAAAAAAAAGTATAGTATTTGCATATAACCTGGGCACATCTTCCTGTACACTTTAAATTATCTCTAGATTACTTATTATAACTAATACAATGTAAATGCTACATAAATGTTGTAAATACAGTGTAAATGCTATGTAAATAGTTGCTGGCACATGGAAAATTCAAATTTTGCCTTTTGAAACTTACCGTAATTTTTTTCTAATATTTTCTGTCTGGAGTTGGTGGGATCCACAGATGTGGAATGCGTCCCATCAGTGATGAAGAGTCACTGATGTACCCCACCCTCCAGTGATCGGTATTGTCATGTGGTAGGAGCTTAGCAGTTCTAATGGGGTGTAGAGCTGTCTTGCTGTTTTATGTTTTAATTGGTAATTCTCTAATGATGTACAATGTTGATCATATTTTTGTCCACTTATTATCTGTTTATCTTCTCTGGCCAGGTGTCTGTTCAGATCTTTACCCATTTGTAATGAAAGTGTTTGCTTTATAGTTGTAATAATGTGCGTACAAATTCTTTATCAGATATATGTTTTGCAAATATTTTTTCTCCTAGGTTGTTGCTTCTCTTTTGGTTTTCTGAATACAGTAGTTCACCGAGTAGAAATTTTTAATTTTATAAAGTACGTTATTATTTTTCCTTTTATTTGTGGGCTTTTCCTGTTGTGTGTTAGAAGTCAAAGCTCATGATCTACCTGACCAAACTCATGGCCATGTAGGTTTTCTTCTATATTTTTTCTGTAATATTTATAGTTTTCTGTTTTAAACTTGTCTGTGGACAATTTTGAATGACATTTGGTGTAAGTTGTAAAGTTTGTGTCTACATTCATTTCATTGCATATGGTTTCTTATTGTTCTGTAACTCTCTATTGAGATGTCATGGGATATTTGCCTCCTTCATTTTGAATTTTCAAAATTTAGTGGCTGCAGCAGGATGGCCAGCTCAGGACTTGCCTCCACTGAACTGGAGAGGGTGAGGCCTGCATTTGCTAGGTTGCCAGCAGAAGGCGACAAGCCCGCCCCTCTTACTAGTGCAGCCCCTGCCTGTTCTTTCATCAGACTTGGCTCCCTGCACAGCTGACCGGAGCCTGGTCTCCTCCGGACCTGCCAGGGGTTTGGCTTCAGGACATTGCGGGCCTGCATCCACATTGAGACGAGCTCGGTTTCCTCAGGCCCGGCTGGGAGGTGCCGCTGTGGGGAGAAGAGGTGAGGAAACATGAGGGAGAAGCTTCATGTGTGTGGCTGACTGCTGGGGGCTGGAGTGGAGCTGGTTAGTCTTCAGAGGACCCAGCGGAGGAAGGGCTTGGCATGGAAAATTGTGGGTTTCAGTGAGTTTTGTGTGTGGTGCAGACGGTGTCCAATGTCCCTCTTGGGCTTGTGATGTTCCATTTTCCAGGCAGTTTATTGAGGGGAGTGTCCTTTCCCTGATGTATGTCCTTGGCAGCTTTGGCATCAGTTAACTGGCCACGTGTGTGGGCTTATTTCTGGGCTCTGTTCTGCCCCTCTGGTCCGTGGGCCTCTCTCTGTGCTATTTCTACACTGTTTGCTTAATGTATCTTTGTAATATGGTTTGAAGTCAGGCAGTGAGTTTCCTCCAGCTGCTGCTCTCCTTTCTCAGGATCCCCTTGGCTGTTCGGGGTCCTTTGTGGACCACAGAAATGTTAGAATTCTTTGTTCAGTTTCTGTGAACAATGCTGCTGGAATTTTGGTAGGAGTTGCGTTCAATGTGTATATTGTTTTGGGTAGAATGGACATTTTAACACCGCTTATGTTTTCCATCCATGAGCACAGGCTGTCTTTCCATTTATTTGTGTCTTCAATTTCTTCATCAATGTCTTCACATTTTCAGTGTGCAGGGCTTTCATGCCTCGGGCTAAATTCATTCCTAGGTATTTGGTTTTTCTGATGTTATTGTAAATGGGATTGTTTTCTCAATTTCTCTTTCAGATGGTTCCT